AGTGCCTGCTACATAATAGGCACTAAATAAATACATGTTGAATGAATGTGTAAATAAAAGGAAGATTTTAACTTAAAGATTTCAAAGACCCCAAGTGATCTTGAAAATCTAATTTGAGTTTTAAATGTTTAAATTGCAAATCTTAACTGCTAAGTGATAAACAGTTTGGAATTTAATTAAAATGCATATTTTCACTAAAAGTTTACTTTGGCAAAGTTAACATGGGAAAACGAAGGGTGAGACAAGATTATTAGATGTTAAAGGCACAGTGTTTTTATAAGAACTGGGTTGTTTCAAAGATATATGCCTATCAATTAGGTTAAAATATTCCCAATTATTACTATTGTTTATGGCATTATTCTTTAATTACAAATATTTATGAACACTTAGTTGAAAATATATAATAAAACTGAATAGAGTACAAAAGAGAACATTAAAAAAACAAAGTGATTGGAGAAATTGGGGACAAACGTTTCCTAAAATGACAAGAGTAATGGGACATATGACCTGACTTTTAGGACCAACCTTGTCCCATAGAAAATGGATGCCTAAGTAATTTATAGATTCTTAAATCTCTCTCTAACCTGTTTATTGAGTTAAATTTTTTATTATCTGGTGACTCTAGATATTTAAATACTATTTACTAATTTGATGGGAAGTCAGAAAACTGCAACAGAGTTTTGTAGAATAGTTATCAATGGAAAGAAGAGTTTTAATGTAAGGACCACATGGTGGAAACAAATCTAACTCTAAAAAAAAATCACAAAACCGATTCAGATTTTACAACCAAAAAAAAAAAAAAAAATGTTTCTCAAGGAAAAGAAATGAAAACAATGTTCAAAATATTAGTATAGGAACCACAGAATTTATAGAAACAAGATAATATTTTTAGCTCTACATTCTAGACACGCTTGGCCATGTAGACACAACCACAAGGTATCGTTAAGTAGTACTCCACAAAGTAGTGTGTTAAAAATAATAAAGCCTGAGAAAACAGTGTATGTTTTAAGGATGCATCAAAGAGTCTAGATCAATATGAATAGTAGCTATTATAAAAAATCAGGAAGTGGACATAACATAAAAGTAAAAATGTATATAGTATATATCAAAATAAGATTCCTCTCCATATGTGATCTGTTTTTGTCTTTATGCTCATTAGGATTTTTTTTTTCCCAAAATAAATACACGTTTTATAAAAACTAACAGGGACCATGGTTTTAAGCAAGAGGAACAATAACTATGGCTATTGAAGAAACAGAGAAATTAATACTTTAATATTTATAGGAAAAACTTATTCACTAGAACAGTTTGTAAACAATTTGAAAAACCAGACAAAATCACCCAAGTAAATCTGAGTACAAAATAGGCAACGTGTTTCTTATCTATCTTATTTTCATTCTCAGTGTTGGATTTTAAACTATCTACCTTAAATTGTGATTGATCATTGTAAATGATCAAAATGACTCAAGGTTGAACATAGCAATGGCCTCGAAAAGCAACTATTTGAACATTGCAATATCTACCTCAACCTCAAACTTGCCCAATGTAGCTCATTCACAGTACTTAAATTGATGTAAACGCTTTGCTGCTTAAAATTTGTTCTGGTCACTTTCATTAAAATGTTTAATTTTTTTTTCTCCATGCTTTACTTATGCTGTATCTGCTGTTAAGCAATACAATATGGGAAGGACTTTGAAATGATTTCTCTATCCAGACACACTGTTTTGGGTGTATCAATGAAAATGCAATGACGTATTACTACACATCATGAAATTTCTGTTTTGACCTGCTTAACAAAGTTTTTTTTTTTTTTATATACATACCAGCAGAGTCATTCAAAGCATTTTACATATTAAATTACTTATCAAAACACAGCTTATATAGACCTTGACATTTGTTAAAGAACCAGGGATTTAACAAAAAAAAAAATTTTTTAAAGGACCAGAACAAATCTTTAGCAGAACACAGATTATGTGGCAAAGGAGTGACTTATTGGAAGATAGAGCATACTTATCAAGACATACTTTCAGCATATATGTAAGAGACTTATTTGTTGATTTGTATGATCACCTGCAAATATGTGGTAGATTGTGGTTAAACAAAATCTATAACAATAATGTTGCAGGAAAGAGGAAAAAAAACTTTCAAAGGACCTTTAGTAATATTTTTTTATTCCAGAAACTCATCAGTAGGCCTAACTCTAGTATCAATTTTTTGAGGCAAAATTCTCTTGCCATTGTATTTTCATGTGGGTAAGTAATTTTAGGATGATTATACATTGATTATACTAAATTGCTTCTTTATTTTCTTTTTTCATTTCTAGAGCAATCATAGGGTAAAGTAATAGCTTTGCAATGAATGCCAATATTTGGTTTCTTCATAGATGTGTTGTTTTAGTCCTCAATTTATTTTCTATATATCTAGTAGTTTAAGAAATTATGATAACAAAAAGACTCTCACTAAATGCAATGAGAGAATAAGGTAAATTGATTACTGCTCAAATTGTTTATTTACACATAGCAAAACAATAAAATCACAACTCAGTGTTTTTTAAAAAAAATACTATATATTCACATACATTTTTATGTAATTTTAAAGACTAATTTCCTACAACATTTTCACTCCTGTGAAAATTTAGTTCAAATTTGTCACCCAATCTGTGTTTTAAACTATTAATTGCAGACGGAATTACACTAAACAATGAAAAATTTAGAAGCTGCCTTTTAAACATAGGGTTACAATGTGCATAAGTACAAAAAGACTTGAAGATTCATCAGTAGCTTCAGAATAACAAAGACAAGAGAACAGTGCTTGGAAAAAATTACACAATCTGGTAAATTCATAGTCAATAGATGAGGATTTGGTCTGAAGAAAAGCTATGTTTCAATGCAGTTCAACTTATTTTGAAATAATTACTTTAGAAGTATATAAAATTATCTATAAATAATTCAATAATTTCTACATCAAATGCCACCCTTCTTACATGTTATTTGCCATATTTGATTTAAAAATGCATTAAGAAAAAAAGCATTAAATATTGTATACTTACTCTTTTTTTAATCTGTTTTTTCTCTTAAATAAAAATATCTGCATTCTAAATGTGCCCCAATAGCTCTTCATTTCTCAGCCCTCCTCAAACCCCATCCAGACTCAACATTCTCCTAGAGTATGTGTATCCTTTTATTTATCAAAGGATTTTAACTGCAAAGACAAGTTGAGGGGCTATTATTATTGTTACTGTTTTTTTTTTTTTTTTTTAAATAGACCAAAAGAGACATTCTATTCTGCTATTTGAGAAAAATATATTTCCAATATTTGGCTAGTAAGTAGAAGAAAGATAAGCTTTAAGGATGCTTTCCTATGTATTTTAGTCCACCATTTTATCTTTAGGAAAGTCTAGTTTTTACACACAAGTAGTATTCCTGAGGATTGCAAGAGGTAGTGTAGTTTAGAAAAAGCTGCTGACAGACTCACAGGAGGCAGCTAAATCTGATCGCATGAAAGCCAACTTCACTGGGCATCTCACTTAGTTGTTAGTTTCTCAATTGGGATTGCCTTCAGGAGTGCCAACTGTGAAGGTCTGTAACCTTCTGAGCGATGTTATGTCTCTAACTTCGCTACAGACTTGCACCTATAGCCATAGGTGGCTGGCTGGGCCCGGCACATCCTATAGTAAAACCAAAGCTTTATTTTTTTCCCCTGCTTTTCAATAATGTTCTCTTTATAGACTAAAAGTAAAATAAGCTCCTTTTATGGCAGTTCATTAACTCCTTAGAATTTATTTTCCTAATCACAGTTGTGATATTAAAACCAATACTGTTTTAAAAGAACTTTTAATAAAATGAACTCTTACAATCAATATTCACTGTCATGTCACACCAAACTTGAATTTACACACCTCTTTCCACAAATGAGCTAATGTTTCCTAACTTGTCTTTTTGGACATATGTTTTTTTGATATTTTAAATTTTAGTGGGGGATAATTATCTTCTAAAAATTAGATTGTTCCCCCTATACTTATTTAAGCACAAAAACATCACAATGGAGAATCACATGCTTTGAACCTTTGCCTCTAGCCAGTACTGAGGGAGCTCTGGAATGCTTCACTCTTGCTGCTTTTCAAACCCTTTCCCCACAGATACAGTTCTGTGTGTTTCCCTAATCCTCAGGAGATTTAAAGCAGATGATCATAATTCTTTAATACTATTCTTGATATAGCATCTCGGGTCTTGGCGAGTAAAACATTTCTATTCACTATTCCATTCCCAAAACTATTACTTGTTATTAATCTCTAACATTTTTTGTTACTTTTCTCTGGGTAACTTCTTGCTTGTTGCATAAAATAATAACCTTGATAGCACCTGTTTAAAAACACTCTCATAGAACTTACCATTGTTGTATTGCAATCAAACAAAACAGACAAACCTCACAACTTCGTTGTGAATATATAATTTCCCTCACGCATGAGACTCAGAAAGGCTGTTGTCTGGCCAGAGTTACAATGCTGTCTTTTATGTTGCCGGACTAGAACCCATGAATATCTTTGGTTTCTACATCTAATATGCTTTCCCTTTTTATCAAGAATTCTTTTTCTGAAGTACAATAGATTTTTTAAAAACTTAGCTTAATATATATATTATTTACAAAAAAATAAATAATTGTAAAAATTTAAACTGAAAATGTTTTTATGAAAACTGAAAATAAATTTAACATTTAAAAGCTAAGAAGATATGACATCTCACTGTCTTGAAAATCAAGCACTTGAATTACAGACAGAAGAAAACTATGGTAGAATTTAATTTTTAGCTGGTTTCCTTTATTTAACCTAACTGTAAGTTATTTTGCAAACAAAAGAAGAAACCAATATAGGTACTTCTTTTAAAGTCAATAATCATAGAGTCCTAAAATACATGTTGTTGATCTAAGCATATTTTGTACTTCAAATGTAATTTTATTTGGATCAAATTAAGTGAATGTGTACATTTAATATCACTGTCTAGGTTGTTCAGTTAAGGGAATACTTGCACCAACGATAACAAATACAAGAACTTCTAAGAAAGAGCGTATATCATTCCGTGACAATCCTGTACAACTCAGTGGTGGATGGGGAAGTGGCAAAAAGAAGGTGAAAACATCAAACTAACACTTCAAGCTTCACCTTTCAAAACATGAGTTTCTTTTCAAGAGATCTGTGGCTATCTGGTCATGTTAACAATTGGATTCAAAATTTCAGAGTACTGTATTTAATTTGTACTGTTATATATATTTTATAATTTTTGTTTTCTAATAATTTATCTTGTTACCTACCTGAAAAATAGTTTTGCAGTTGTCTCTGTTTCATGTGGAATGATTGTCTCCAGAAAATTAGTTCTTGAAATGTTGTAATAGAGTTTGCATAACCAGTTTCCTTTCTGTATCAAAGATGCTTTTTGTTGCCAATAATAAGTTGTAATACCTCACACATTTTATAAGTGACTAGAGCTATATTTTATTGACACTGTTCAATGTAGAGTATGAATAATTAATATTTTATATAACTATATTAAAGTTGGCTATTGCAAAGATAAAATAATTTATAAAGCAATTCAAAATAATTAAAGTGGTCTTTTTTACTGTAAATTGCCTTAGATTAGAGTTATGATATGAAAGTATATATTCAGTTTAAATTAAAATGAAATATAAATTTAAGCACTGTCAATTTAATCATTTGGATATTTTATCTGTAATGTTCCATTAAGATGTTTATTACTTTTATAACATTTATAAGGGTAGATACTAATTCTGATTTGTTAATATTATTCTGTTGACTCACAAATACTGTTTTTAAGGCCTCTTAAAATTACTTAACTATCATTTTTATAACAATATACTTTCTAAAATTATGGACCAGTTTTATTAAACTCTTATTACTGAGTTGTTAATATTCTGTGATTTCTTAGTAAGTACAATGTGCAAATGCTGTGTTTACTTACATTGCTCCATAGAAACTATTACTTTTCTGAATCTAGAGGTTTTTTCTCCAGTGACTTTCCAGTGTGTTGCTGTGTAACAGAATCCAGTGGAATTTAGACTTTTTCCTGCTTTTTATAAAGTATTTCACTAAAAATGACTAAGCAGATTTAAGAAATGCCCGCCATCTACTTTTGGAGCCCTATTGCATTTCAAACCTGTAAATCTCTTTTAACTTGATAGAGATAGAAATGTTAATGAGCCTTGAGCTGTCAATCAGTAAAGAAAACATAGCATCATATGTTGTGGCCTAGAAAGTGAGCTTTGGAACATAAACTCCATGTGTATTTGCTTTATGAACATGCTGTTATGTCATCCTTTTACTAACAGCATGTACCAACTAACATAAAGTAACGATGGAAAATATTTTATCTCAGCTTATTGTGAACCCTTCAAGAGAAAACCACATTAAAGCTGATATTTATGGGGTTTTATGGTTCATATATTCGAATCAATGAAGTGGAAAGGCTAGTAAGAGAAGTGAGATGCTTGTGATTAAACTGTTTTAGTGCCTAAAAATAACGTTAATCTATACTTTCCTTATTCTGTGATCTGTGTAATTGTTTCATAATATTAATCTTGAGGAAGATGATGAGTGCTAATGCTCCTAAATGTGTTGACAATGATTGATAGATATGTCAATAAAATAGTTTCCTTAAGATATTAGACTGGAAGTTCTTTGTAGTTGTGTTTATTGTCTAACCTTAAAGTGATCACTTAAAAAGTCTTTCAGAGCTCAAACTTATTATTTTAACACTAGTTTATTTGTGTATATGAAAATGAAAAAGTTAAAACTGAAATCAATCGACAATGTTTAAAATTTTAATCTCATTTTATCTGTAATTGAATGAAACCTGAAAGAAATCAAGGCAAGATAAATTCTTTCTCCTATTTCATTGGGGTAACATTGAAGCAAATATGCCTTAAATATTTGAGAGGGTTTATATATGACACTCAGATTTTGTTTAATAGTGATAAGCTTAGGGGATTCAAATGCATGACCCCAAATGGCATCTTGTCCTTTCCTACATCCTATATCCTACCTCCAACCCCTTCCCAACTCAACTCAGCTTTCTACCTAGCCGGCTTCTACAGTGCTGTCACAAACAATCCACACTCACTTCTAGTAAGAAAGGCAAAGTGAATCACTGATCAAAAAATGCTGAGAGAAATGCTAGATAGTGTGTTTGCAGATTCCAGAATGTTTTGAAATGAGAGTTAACCACATTGGTTTATGGAGATATCCCTTCCCAAAGTCCAGCCTACCAAAATCTTTGTGTACATAGTGCATTAGAGGAGATCTTATTAGGTATTTCAGTAGGGATTCCAAATCCTAATTTCTTATTGTGCTCGTACATTAGTTGGAAACACAGCACTCACATAAAACAAAAGCCACAATAATATAGTAAAAGCCAAAATATTTTGTTGTGGGCACTCCTTTGCCTTAGAAGCAAAAGAGAATATACCGAGATATTTGGCAATTAGCTTGGAATTTTTCTTTTTTTAGAAAAAACAAAGGAGTGCGCTTTAACTAGAATATGTTGAGAGTCACAGAGAGTTAAAGGTTTTTGAAATTAAAATTGCAAATGAGGGCCCTCCCTGGTGCAAGGGGTTAAGTCTGGACACTATGAAACTATCAGTAGCCACTGTGGCACAAGTTTGATCCCTGGCCAAGGAGCTACGCACATGGCACAGCAAACCTCTCCTGTCTTGCCACTGCTCCCCTCAGCAGTATATTTCAGTCATTCTGCCTGTTCTGCTGTCCTCTCTGTCTCTGGTGAATCCTCTTGACCCCCAACCCCAGCTCTGGCCTGCACTCCAGCTCTTGTATGCATAAATAATAATTTTTAAAAAAAATTATAAATGAACACTAAGTAACAAGACATCTTTGTCTACTGTAAATCCTCATATCAGCAGGTTAATAAGGTTTGGTTGTTCTAATTCTTGATTGTGCTATTTAGTTATTAAATTGGTCATTGCCAAGATTTTTCTCCTTTTTGGTCATAATTTACTCATGTTCTTTCTCATTTCTTTCAAAATCTAGGTAGCATTGATAAAAAATTCAGACTAATAAAATTAAATACATAGGATACATTTTGATACTATTTACTTATAAAATTAAACATATAGGATATGTTTTGATAATATTTACTGTCAGTATGCTGAGTCAAAGTAGCTATAACACATTTCTTATAAGTTCTTTCAAAAATCTTTTTGCTTATTCTTTTGAAAAGTTAATTTTAATTCACTTAATTGATTGGAAAATAAAATCTACCTTTATATTTTCATATTTCCTACCAAATTCAGTTTCCATCATCTTTATAGGATAGAAAATTATTCACCCTCTGGATTTATGGTTTTCATTATTGTACTATGGGAATCTGTATAGGAAACATACTCAATTTAGGAAAAGAAGATCCTCAAGCATTCTATTGAATAATGGTTGTCAAGATTAATTTCTGATTAATTTCTCACAGGAGATACAATTCTGTCCTTTTCAAATGAAATGTAATCTATTATTTACTATATTTCTTGTGCTTACCTAGATGAAGCTATTTTTATCCTTATGATTGTGAGATTCAGAGAAAGGTTCTTTCCGGAGATAAAGAACCATAACCTAGATCTGTCCTGTCTAAACAGTAGCCAGTAGCCACATGTGGCTAAAGAGTACTATTTAAATATGGTCAGTCTGAATTGGATATGATGTAAATGTAAAATGCACAACAGATTTAAAATACTTAGCATGAAATAAAGAATGTAAAATTCTCCCAAATTGATATTGATTATGATAAAACAATAGTATTTTGCTGCCAATAAAAGGTAACAATTTCATCTTTTGCTTCTTTTTACTTTTTAAAATGTAAGTATTAGAAAATTTTAAGGTACATATTGTATTTAATATATTTCTATTGGATAGCATTGATCTAGAGGCTTTTCTGTGAGATAACTTAGGAAGGGTGTTTGATACAAGAAATAATTGATGTGATAATAGCTAAAAGAGAGTTAGTGAGCACAGAAAATAGGGCACAAAATCCTAGTTTATAAAAGAACAGGAAATCTGAAGTAGGGAAGAGTAGGAACAGAGGGAAGGAAGCAAAAGGACTAAAATGGTGAGCTACCATGGTGATGAGACCTGCCAGAGAGAATCCTTCTGTTACTACAATTTAATTTTTTTTTAAGTAAAGGAAATTTGGATTCTACTAAACATAGTGAATATTGTGGAGAAAAGGAAGGAGAGACAAACTTCCATTGTGGCTCTAACTTTAAGATTGGATTATTGAACTTAACTTTGCTTTAATTGAATTTAACTCTCCATTATATATTTGTTTTTATTAGATTTAATAAGAGACTATCTTATAAAATCAGGTTGAAGTCTTCTGAGTCCATTTTTTTATCAGTGGTTGAAAATAGAATTAGCCTCCACCTGTAGTCTATGTTTTATCGGGCTTTATACTTAATAGTTGTTAATTTTTCAAAATAACATGGTCTGAACAGTGTCATAGATGTGGCTTTTAATGGGAACTGTATTCTATGTAGCATCATATTATATGACAAATTCAGTTTTAATCTAAGACTATAAATAACAGCCAGTAAGTAACAGTCACATAATTTGGGAGATAACAAATATAGGTGTTTATAACTTCCAGAAAACATAGCAACACATGCTTTATAAGGTACTGCCTAACCACCATTCTTCCTCCCCCTCCAAATATCACTCAACTCATCATCTACCGATACAATAAGCCAGAATTTAGATAGATCTAAAATGGCCTCCAGAAGATGGATCATGAAATCAGTCAGAAGAATGATGAGGCAGCATAAAATATCTGAGACTACATTGGGAATGTTGGTCGAGTCAGGTCTCCTCTGATACTTGCTTGTCATCTTTGCTTTTAGTCAATAACTGGCCAAGGGCACTACAGGGAGATCCTTTCTTTGAATCTTTTGAAGTGAACCAATTCAATTAACATTACAACATGTAGTTTTCCTTTTATTTCAGAGCTTTTTTAGCCATCACTTAGTGTAATCCCCATCACATCCCTACATTGTAGGGAATGTGTTAAAGCCCCTTTTACATTGCAATAGCAAAGGTGAGAAAAACGTTTCAAGTTCATGCTTTTCTTATGCAGGACTGAGTGCATCTACCAGTGGTAACCAGGTGAGTAAATGGAAAACTTTTTTGTAAGTGAATGCTATCAGAATTTCTGAAAAGTAATTTTCTCCTGCAATTTAATCTTTATTTTATAATCCTCTTAGAATTAGTCTAGGTCAGCACTGCTCAAGTATAATGTGACTCACAGGTAAGTTTACTTTTTCTAGTAGCCACATCTAGTACATTTATGGACATTATCTTACTGGAGGACTTAATTAATAATCTTAATAAGGACATTATCTTACTGGAGAAGATTTCATCCATATGGGTAAAATTACTTGTCATAGAGAAAAATAAAAACATATAAAAATAAGATGATTTCTGATCGGTATCAATAAATGTGTAACTATTAGTAAATATTTAACTATACATATTCAAAATCAAATAAATGAATATTAACTTTACTGCTTTGTTCTTTGATGTGGACTTAAGATTGCCCTCAATAGTTATTGAACTTAAGATTTCACTTCCAAGGTTTATGTATCAACAGAAAATTACAAGAAGACAAATGAAGGATAGGTCTACCTCTTCTCTCTCTCTGGATCAATCAGATTGGATCCAAATTATAGACTTTCTATTCACTATAAAATGAAACCAATGCTTAGTAAAGCTCACTATAACACTTAGAACTAAGTAAGAAATCAACAGCAATTTTGTTCTGCTCAGTGTATATTTTTGGCATGAGGCATATGGAAGAAACCTAACTACCCTGTGTTCTAATCCTTATGTTCATGTTGGACAGTGTCTAATAATCTCTGAGCTTATTTGTTTATCATTGAATTAAGATTCTATCTCGTAGGGTGCTATGAAATCAATGACAAAGTATATGAGAAATCCAGAACCAGTATTTTGGGTATCATAAGCATTCAGTAAATGATGATGACACAGAAAACCACACACCTTACTTAGGAAGTATGTCCATAAAATGATGAAATAAAATTAATATTTTTTTAAAGATATTTAAAACTGACTTCTCAGATTTGCCTTGAAATGGCAGACTTCAGTGTTTCAACTACATATACATTGAAAATGTATAGAATGATTTGGAATTTAAAAGGCACACATTCCTAATAACATCTGTACTAATTTTTTCACATAAGCAAGTAAAAGATATATTTTTAGAAAAATGGTCTGAAATGTCAGGATCAGAACTCTGGAAGCAATGCTTTCTACTCCAAAATAGACCCATTAAATGTCTCTGCTACTAGATGCTAGTTTATTGATTAAACTACCTCATATTCTCCACTTCTCCCACATTGCCCACTTCCCTTCTAAGGAAAACATTGACTCATTTTCTCTGTAGGGAGACAAAGAAAAGGATATTCATCCCTTGATTTGATGTATTTATTAATCATTATTTGATATTTAAATTAAAACAAAAACATGTTTATCTTCATAAATATAAACTAGTCTTTTAAAGGTGAGTATTAATGTAGACCCAATAAGCAATCCTTTAAGGAACTTTTAGTTTAGTAACCTACAGGAGATTTTAAAAAAATGTTTGAGGAGTACGAATGATTTGTTTCAAATGAGAATGGACAAGGAAGGGGTGTTTTATATTCTATTTAACTGATCTTGAAGGAGAAACTGATACTAAGGAAAGCATTTTAGGCAAAAGATAAAGCCTGAATAAATACCTGGAGTCAGGTAACTGCAACATGTTCAGCAAATAGAGAGTGGAACCATCCCAGATCTGAATCATTGGACAGAAGTGAGAATACCTGGTGAGAGAGACGGGAATTAGTAGGAAATGTGATTGGGAAGTAGGACTGGACAAAACACCCTAGAACCTATCCAGCCTGTAAGATCTTAGGTTATATATGGGTGGTCTCTAGGTGGATGGTTTTCAAAAATTGGAAAACAATAGTATTCTCAGCATCATTACCTATAATTACTAGGATAATTTTTAAAGAAAAATAAACACTATTAGGGGAAAATATTAATCTGATTCACACATGAAATGATAACACCAGTTACCAATACCAAAGACATTAATGAGTACAGTATTGAGAGTTGAAGTTACACATGCTGATGCTTCTTAAATCTGAGTGGAAGCAGCTTCCAAGTATACACATTGGCAGAGCTCTTTGTAAATGTTTTCCTCAAAGGATATTGGTACAGACAGTAATTCCCAGAGCAAGCTGCTCTGCCCCAGGAAATGAGTTCCATGAGGCCTGCGAAGCACTAAGCTAAATCTTCTAAGTCCACTAATTGCTAAGGAAAAAAAAAAAAACCCTAGAATTTCTAATTTTATGACTTGAAGTGTACTGGAATAAAAGAATTTGAAAACCTCTTGTTCAGCTTCTACTGCTATATCAATACCAAAAGACTGAGTGACTTTTAAACCACAACCATTTATTTTTCAGAGTTCTGGAGGCTTGAATGCCTACATCAAGGTACCACCATATTTGGGTTCTTGATGAGGACTCTCTTCCTGGTTTATAGATGGTCATATTATCATCTCTTCACATGGCAGGGAGGGAGATCTCCAGTCTCTCCAAACTTTTATAAGAAAGTTAATCTCATCATGAAGACACCATTCTGCAGACCAAATCTAACAATAACTTCCTCCCTCAAGTGCCCACCTCCAAATACCATCACATTAGGGGTTCAGGTTTCAACCTAAGAATTTTGGGAGAACACAAACATTCAGTCCAAAGCAGCTTCCTAGAGGGATATAGTTTAATTGGTAGGAATTGTATTTCTAGAAAATTACTTCTGTAGTTTTTTCAAAGTGTGGCTTACAGTAAGAATCTTTTTTTTTAAAGGCAGTGAATTTACTAATTATTCTTGTTTTAATTTATATAGATAGTTCACAGCAGAAATTGAAATAGGACCCCGAATTCTGGACAATTTGTTAACAGTAATTTGTTTACAGCCTAATTGAATCGTCCTTTAAGGAAAATAGATTTATTTTATACTAGTACACACATTTCACAACATGAAAATCCTCATGGATATTTGTTGCCGGATGTAATCCTCTCTCCTTTATCTATCTCTTAAATAATCATAATTATATATTTGATATTCTTATTTTAAATAGCAAAAAGGAACTTTGTTCCTTGTGTTTTTTAATACTTATTATTTATTTATTTTTAAAGATTTATTTATTTGTACAAGAATTGGGGTACAGGCCAGATGTGCAGGAGGGTGAGAGGCTTTGTTATAGAGCAGCCCTGATATTGAATGGGTTCCTGGCTGTAGGTCCTCACCCGCGTGCTTAAAAGGGACTTAATAATACTCCACTACAGGCATACACAAAAGGTTAATAAAAGGTTTATTTACAAGGGAAAAGGAAATAAGGAAAATGTACAACTCAGGGAGAAAATAGGGAAATAAAGTATTTAATGCATCCTACCCGATCCGCCGAACTGGAAACCCAAAAAGCACTCTCAGAGCTGGCCAGACCGCTGCGAGCTGGCGGAGAGCCAAAATGGGGGAGTCCCCCAAAGCCCACGTGTCTGCCTTTATATCAACCTGGCTGCTTAACCCCACCCTCAGGTCCCAGCCACCTTCCCTTTTGTGGTGATGGGATTTGGAGTTCCCAGTGTCTTTGGCTTTGGCCTGGGTGGGGGTGGAGTACACAAAGCCTGTATGGAATTAGCTTTAGGACATCCTTTTCCCCCTAACAGCTTCACCAGAGACAGAGTGGGGAACAGAACAGGCAGACTGATTGAAATACACTGCTGAGGGGAGCAGCAGGCGAGACAGGAGAGGTCTGCCGCACCATGTGGTTTTCTCCCTGGCCAGCTGGGAATCGAACCCACACTGCAGAGGCTATGGACAGCTTCACAGCACTGCGCTCAACCCGCTGCGCCACCGGGGAGACCCTATTCCTTGGTTTTAAGTCACTTATTTTTACTTCATAGCATCATTAGTTTATTTTTACTATGTCCATGATCTTTATAAAATACTTCCTCATTCTGAATTTTAAAAATTGTAATAACAGCACATAGTGCTTCACTCAAAGAAGCATCAGCATGTGTATTTTCAACTCCCCACACTGTACTCATTAAATTATTCTTTGGTGTAGGTAACTGGCATATAAAGTAACTCAAATCTTCAGATACCTTAACTCTCTTTATACTTTTTCCCATCCTTCGAGATAGGTTCTACTCCTAGTCCAGTTTTATAGAAGATGTCAATGAATCAGAATAGTTTCTAGGGTGAACTTTACTCAGCATCACACGGACAGCAGGTGGTAGAGCTGAACCAAATCCAGGATTCAGTAAGCCTGAATCCTGATTGTATTTTATTACATCTCTGATGCTACAGGTCACATAGATATGCATATATATTATAAGAAAAGTTGTGTGTAACCAGCTACTAAAAACTTGCTGTTAATCGGTAAGCCAACAATGATCTAGATCATAAAGGCAGGCCAGAATTACACAATGGTTATTTGACAGAAACCCTTCCTTCCTAAGTGGAGTCCTCAATTCTATCTCATAATTAAGGCAAAATGTGATAAAAAGTTATTTTTTTCTCCTTAGGCAATATTAATCTAATTTTCAAATAAATGGTACTGGAAAATTTTTCTGAAGGAAACTATGGAGATTTAATGCTATTGTAAGTGACTATTGAGGACCTACTTGGAAGTTTTGACTTGGAAGAGACTTGAACAACACAGATTCCCTTCCAACATTTCTTGTCCACTAGCATACAGCTTTGAGAATCAGTCAAGTTTAGTCACAGAATTTTTGTTGTGAAAATGCTTTCTTTGTTACATGAAAACCCTATTTTCTAACTGAAGCCAAGTGCTAAACCAAATAAATGTAATCAGTCTTCTGCGTGGCTACTCTTGGCTAAAAATTACTAACTCTTTTAATCATTCCTTGCATGACATCATTTCCAAATCTTTTTTGACTTGCTCACTGTACACCTGGAAAACTCAACATTATTAATTTTTCTGTTAAAAAATACTTTCCAAAGCACTTCTGATTTCCCTAGATTTCTGTATAATGCAGTGTACAGTAAGGATCTGATCTTTCTTGATAACTTTTGCTTCTGTTTATATAATATAAGCTAAATTTGTTTTAGCTTCCTTAGCAACAAAGTTATGCCATGGACTCAAAATATCCTCAGCTCTTATTGTATGACCTTTATAAGTTTTGTTTACCTTCTCCTATATTTACATGTTTAACCTTAGTTTGTGACATTTTATTTCCATTGGTTTAGTTTCATCATTCTACCTTCTCCAAAAATATTTACCACCCATTTTCTTGCATTTTAAAACTTTAACTAACCCTCCTAAGAATGCACAATTTATTTTTTAAAGTCTGTATTTATCTTACAGTGGTTTTTTTTTTGTTTTTTTTTGTTTTTGGCTTGGTGGAAATAGTAAATAAAAGTAAAATTCACCTATAATAAATAAAAGAAATCTATTTAAATGATTTACAGGATTCCACGTGTTTACTTCTAAGCTAAGTAGGTATATGAAATACTTTAAAGAAAACTTTATAATCTATAGAGCTTGATTCAACTGTGATCCGGCAATTAGAGATATCTAAAGAATTCTATCAATCAATATATAGCTCAAATGAGACACTGACTATAGTACTACTATATTTCATGAGAGATAAAAATTACATTAATAAAGTTTCTTTTCTTCATTTATTTTGCCAATATTTAAATTTCTTTTCAAATTCTAAAACAATAGTCAAACTTTTATTAACATTAGAATGTGCAAGATTTAAATGCATTCTTACTTAAGTCAGAATAGTAAATTAAATTTTACTAAAGTCCATGATTGAACAATTCTTTTGTTCTATTTTTAAACATCTTTCTTAATGTAACAAAAGAATAACTGCAAAACCTCTCCCCAAAAGTAACACATCAGATAAATACAGTGTACAATGGAGAATTTCATTAACTGTAATCAGAGATAAATTTTATTTAATTTTAATTATTCCCCCTTTAAGTACATGAAAGATTTCCCCCAAACAAGTTCCTTTTAAAATGTAGCTCCTTCTAAAGAACTGAGGGTGCTTTGATTTTTTTGATGTTGCACAACTGGTTGCAATCTCACGAAGAATTTAATACAGATAAATTTTTTAAGTCTTTTTTTTTCTTTTTGGTAACTTGAAAAAAAAAATCGCTGAAGTATTGAGTGGGAGGGCAATACATATTTAAATTGCTTGAACTTGTTAACAAAACAAATTGCGTTTTCATGAGATTGTGTGACCCAGGAGCAAACTCTGAAGATAGGAAAGTATTGATAATTGTTCTGACTCTATAACAAATGTCCATTTGGGGGCATCAAATATTGGGAGCTAAATGATGACTTGATGACGTAATCCGTTCAGGTTCCTTTTTAGCAGAAGTCTCCCAACACAGCGGGCATCACCCCTGCTAAAAGCAGTGTGCCAGCTTTAACAAAAAGGACATCAAAAATCCAGGAAACGTGAAGCAATCTTCACTGTAAAACAAAACGTTAAAAAAAAAGTGAGCTGTTGCCTGACGATTAACGTATCCGTTAGGAGCTTCTTGTAGTCCAGCAGAAACCTAGTTTTCCCCAAGGGGCAGAGTGAGTGGCTCATTCGCTGAGAAGGCAGGTGGAAGAGAGCGGTGTGCGCTGTTTCATCCATTCATACCCACACACGCACACGCACACTCGCCGCTGTCAGAGTCACAAGTCTCCTGCTTTATCCCTTCAATCTGCAGCAATTTGTGATATGGATTAATTCGGATTGCCAACTTGTGAAACAAAAAGGGCACTGTC